TGGAGGGATTCAGATATCCTTCCTGGGGGGTTATAATTCCACTGGAGGGATCCAGATATCCTTCCTGGGGGTTTATAATACCACTGGAGGGATTCAGATGTCCTTCCTGGGGGGTTATAATTCCACTGGAGGGATTCAGATATCCTTCCTAGGAGTTTGTAATTCCACTGGAGGGATTCAGAAATCCATATAAGAGTTTATAATTCATTGGAGGGATTCAGATATCCTTCCTATGTGTTTATTATTCCACTTGAGGGATTCAGAAATCTTTCAAGGTAGTTTATAAATCCACTGGAGGGATTCAGATATCCGGCCAGTTTGTTTATAATTCCACTGGAGGGATTAAGATATATAACCCCCCAGGACGGACATTGAATCACTCCAATGGAATTTTAAACCTCCTAGATAGATATCTGAATTTGAATCTGATGACATTCAGCAGTTCATTGAACGCCCTGAGAACTCACCATATTGGCAAGTTAGAAAGGTATTAAACAAATAGATAAACACTAAACAGGGTTACCTAAAAAGAGACTTTAATTAGGAACTACAACTCTTAATTCAATATAAAGGTTGCATTAGGTCATCAAGTTCTTGGAAAAAGTCTTTAATTAAGTTGCATATCATATCAGTTGATAACAAAATGTTTATAGCTCCAGAAAATCAGGAACTAGACACATATTTTAAAGTTGAATCTCAATATTTGTTGGTAACCTACATTCCACAATACATGAATTTTACATATTACAGAACAAACAAGAAAAATTAGTTGTTTTTACAAAAATTGTTGATTTTGATTCTTGCAAACATTGTTCCTGAATTTACTTATTATGGATTTAAAGAAAGAGTTTGAAAGATTTATTCATACTTTTTTTGGATCATCATCATTTTAGCAAAGTTCGGAGGGCTTCGTCATGTGGAGTTGTTAAACCTTCAAGTTGAGAAGATGGTGAAAAAGAATGATGGGATGCTTGTAACACATTGTAGGTCGAAACAGCGCTCAGACAAGAAGGAAACCAAGTTCCTAGTTCCTAAACGATGGGCAAGTCAATTTTGCAGCTGTTATTGATGATTATCTGAACGTGATTAAAAGTAGCCTTGGTCATTTCATGGGTCAAGTAATATTTAAGGGTACTCCTGATACATATGCTGACACGCCTATGGGGAAAAATATTGTAAATAAAGTTCCATGTAAAATGCAGCAGTCCTTGCCCCTTGGTCTAGATAATCCAGTATCTTTTACTTCATTCTCTACGACGCTCGTCTGCCACAGCAGCAGCACAGCAGCAGAGCATCCGTTCAGCAGCTTATGGATTTTTATGGATGGGCTAATCCGAGTATGCCTCAAGAATATGTATCATCCAGCAAAGCTTCTGTAGAATCCATGGCTGATAAACTTCAAAGACCTTCTAATCAAATAGAAAAAACAGAGAATATCAAATTCAGTATAGAGAATATTGAAAACTGTTCCTCAGCTTTACCTTCTCGGAGTAGAAAGCCCTATTTGATTCAAAATGCAGACAAAATGGTTATTATTGAACATTTTCATGGGAACAACCTTACAATGTAATTATGTAAACCCGAAAAGATTGACTTAATATAAAATATTTGATGGCAGCTCAGTAGAGATGTATATATACATTGTACAATTGTACATATTCCAATTGTACATGTTTTGATCTGTCCTGGACCAAATTTTGAACTTGGTGTAGTGTACTAGTTTCAACTATTTTATTCAAAATTGTTAGAAAGACTGATAAATGTAAATGTAAAATAAGATTAGAGAATTAATTTATGTGTTTATGTAATAAGTAATTATCCTCCCTGCATATTGGGAGGATAAGTAATTATCCTTCCTGAATATTGGGAGGATAAGTAATTATCCTTCCTGTAAAAAAAAACTTAGGGAATCAAAGGTTGGTTATTTTGTTGAATAGGGAATTAAATAATTAATTACTTTGATCCAAGTATTATCATTCTATGTATTTAATGAATTTGTTTTCTAGGACTTGGGAGGAGTGTGCAATTCAATGTTGGGGCGATGAAGTAGGTTTTTAAAAAATATTTATTTATATCAGCTAATTACTTTAGTCTATAAATATTTCCAGTTTGGGAAGAAATCATCTTCATTGGAGTACTATTGGAGGCCCTAAGCTTAATTAATCAGAAAACGAAAAATCCCTAGGTTTTAGTTAAAATATAGAGTCTCCATTGAAAATTTGTTTGTCTCTAATGAAAAGCTTGGGGCCTCCAATAAGATAGAAGTCTCCTGTAATATTCCACTGATGTCGATATTGACTTCTTTCCCGACTAAATATTTCTAATAACAATATGTCATAAAACTAAATTGTCATATTCAAGTTTTGTTTGTATTGGACTTGGACGCCTGAAGTATGCCGCATGAAGGTAATTAAAGAGGCTGCTTAGTTAAATTCAAGAGGCACAACATGTTTACAACCATGATTATGATATCCTTGTTTTTCTATCAGAATTTATAATCATGGTTTCACTTCAAAAGTGACATGACGATTCAAATAAAATAAATCAAGAAGAAAATAATCAGAACTTAACTGTTTCCAAGAAATTAAATCACAATGATATCTTTCTCATCGTTGCTGAGATAAAGGTTTACAGGGTACAGTTGTAAATGAAAGTTACTTGAAATTACGGTAACAGTCTCTTTAATATAAATTTCCATGATTTTAAGTACTCATTTTTTATATAGATAATTTTTTCATTTTAAGAGTGGTTGCTCAATAGCGGTTTATCCAAACTCGAACGTGATGTCGGGATCCTTCGACTGTGTACATTAGAAGAATATGGGCTCCATCTAATTCATAATCAACACTCACAATTTTGTAATCAAAAGTTGACAATAAAAGCCGGAAAGTTGCCAAATAAACGACAAAAAATTGCTAAGATTCAACAAAGATATTGTTATTGTTAAAAATATACATTTTTGGTGAATGTAATGTTCCTGCCTGGGGTGAGAATTTGGATACCACTAGATTGCGTTCAATGATTGTGTTTAGCAGGGCTGGATACAAAAAGAAAACATTGTTATTTCTTTGACTTAAGTTACAAATTTTTGTCAACTACCATGCCTGTGCTGGAGCATTACTGTATTTTTCACTTTTGCCACCAAAACTTTTCCTTTTTCATTGAAATTTACCCCCCCCCCCTCCTTTTTCGTTTTCATCATCAGTCCATAACCCACTCTCCCATCTATTCTTACTTTCTGCTCTACTTCCTGTCATACTTCCTGACCTGCTTTTTGACCTACTTCTTCTCTACTTTCTACCCTATTTGGTTTTGTTACTTCCTGTACGTAGCAGTTTTAATGCTGAACTCTCTCTTGACTTGTTTCTTGGTCTCCTTGGAATTGGCTGAGGTCTTTTCTCCTATGCTTCATTCCACACAGAGCGAATATTCTAGGCTGTATTCGCCATTGTCCTTAATACTTGGACTGGTTATACTTCTTGGTGTTCTTGGTGCAGGGGAAGGGTCAAACTTTACCACCAAACAAAACCCCATGAAGGACACAAGATTATTTGGTGTATTTCACACGAGTGACTTGTGAATATCCAGTGATATATTCACGTGTTGTTGAGGTGAATGTCAACAATTTGATTACGGGTCTAGGACCGAGTTTTTACATGGTAAAAACTTGAGTTTATTTCACGAAATGAACACGGGATGAAAAAATTATTTTTTCTCCCATCTACTTAAATTACATTTATAAAAAAAACCCAGGAAAGGGGGAGGGATATATAATTAATTTCTGATAAATAAATATATTATAAAATATACTGTGTAAAAGTATATAATTATTACTAAATGTTTAGAAACTAAACATTTTAGTTTATATCTTTTACATTAAACATCTTGAACATGTAAACTTTAAACTTTTCTTATCACAAAGTGATATTTCAAGTCTAAATAATGTTCAATTATGTTAATGTGTTCATAATAAAATATCGATATTCCAAAAAGGGGTTGTTGAGAAATAATGGGAATCTTTGCAACATGTGAAAAAACGACGGGAATTTTACTAGAATATTTCCCCATTTTTACCCGTGCTTTACACGGGATGAATCTTCAAGATTGTGAAAAGTAACTTTACCACAAGTATAACACAAGGAGAGACCGTGAATTAATCACGTGAATTATCAACCAGTTCTCCACCATGCTATTCTCGTCAAAAACCTGTGTTTTGATTGTTGGATATATTACGTTATAACTTTATCTGTACCCTAACTATGTTTATTAATTTAACTACGTTCAATAATTCAACTACGATTTAATTTCTATTATTTAATGGTACCATAAAATCCAAAATATAGATCAGTTGGATATGGTTCTTCATGCTTTATCACATTTAGACACATATTATTTTTCGTGTAGAGAGCATACATACTAAAGAATACATATAGTGTCGTATCTGGATTGATACAGACTGAAGTATTATTGGAGAACATTGAGTTCGAGAGCAAGTTGTATCTAAACGATACATACTAAAGAATACAGAGATCGCTGTATCTGGATTGAAACAGACTAAAGTATTTTTGGAGAATATAGAGTTCGAGAGTGGGTTGTATCTTGATTGATACAGACTTAAAAGAACTTTTGGAGGAAGGCATTTGTAACAAGTCTATATGTTTGTTACAACTGGCTAAACGGATGAACCAAATTGGCCGACATTTGAAAGCTACCAGTTTGGCGTAAAAGAGGAATATTTGCAGTTTCATAGAAAAAAAAACACATGGGGTGAGTGGGTAGAATGATAAATCCATCCCAACCGGAATATAGGGTTAATATTTACTTTCCTTAGCTGGTGCGGGGGGGGGGTGCATGACTATTTAGCAATATTTTGCAATCAAAACGCCTTTACAAAGTTTTTATTCATGAAATGCCAAAAAAAGAATATTTATTTTCCTATACTTTAAAAAAAATATTTCTATAAACTTGAATACAAAGAATAAAGTAATATTTATTTTCATTTTTATGAAAAAGTTTTCACAAAAAAATTTATCTGCTAGAAGTAAGCAATATCTTGGGTATTATTGTTCTCCCTGAAAAAAAAATCTAAAAATTTCACAACAAGAAAAAATGTTAAAAATCATTTGTACTTTTTTTCTTCAAAAATTACCTGTCAGATATTGAGTAAGGGGTCATTGCCATATTAAGATCAGTCATATAGGTCTCCATATCCCTACAATATACAGTCTTCGTCGTGTATACCAATACAATGAAGACGACTTTCGGTTTAAATTTTCAATTTTTATCTAGCTTATAAACAACATGGAAACAAATAGAGGCTGTCAATTGACAAATAGAGGCTGTCAATTGACAAATAGAGGCTGTCAATTGACAAAAAGAAGCTGTCAATTTACAAATAGAGGCTGTCAATTGAGAAAAAGAAGTTGTCAATTGACAAATTGAGGCTGTCAATTGACAAATTGAGGCTGTCAATTGACAAATAGAGGCTGTCAATTGACAAACAAAGGCTTTCAATTGACAAATAGAGGCTGTCAATTGACAAATAGAGGCTGTCAATTGAAAAATAGAGGATGTCATTTGACAGCCTTTATTTGTTTCCTTTCAAACGTGTAGCTTGAAAAGAGGGAAAATATCAGTTTAAAGTTTTTTTTCTGTCGTTGACATGAGGATATTCCTGCGACATAATGAGTGAATGAGTTTATAACTTATTAGCAAAAATAAGGAGCTAAGCTTAAGCATATAATTCAGGTAAAATTTTCAGGCGAGTTTAATTAATTTACATTTAAAAAATACAACGATTTCATCATAGATTATTAATAATTATATAACACTAGATGCCCTCTAATCAAAATTTAGGGGTTTTTCGTTCACAATAAGCCTGAGGCAGAAGCCCATTGGAGTAACGCGCATGCTCTATCTTTTTGTCTTGTCATTAAATACAGCATGCGAGTAACTACTTTGGGCTTCTGCCTCAGGGTTTTTGTGAACGAAAAAGTCCTAAATTTTTAAAGACGAGATCTAGTGTACTACTTGTGGTTTTATTAACCTGTCATAGCACACCTCCCCAGTATCCCAGGATAGTTTCTTGACCTTTTTATTAATAGAACTTCGCGGCCATTCAACTCTATATATATTCATTTATTCATTTATTCATTTATTCATTTATTCATTAATTCATTTATTCATTTATTCATTTATTCATTATTCATTTATTCATTTATTCATTTATTCATTTATTCATTTATTCATTTATTCACTTATTCATCTATTCATTTGTTCATTTATTCATTTAATCATTTATTCATTTATTCATTTATTCATTTATACATTTATTCATTTATTTATTTATTCATTTATTCATTTATTCATTTATTCATTTTTTCATTTATTCATTTATTCATTTATTCATTTATTCATTTATTCATTTATTCATTTTTACATTTATTCATTTATTCATTTATTCATTTATTCATTTATTCATTTTTTCATTTACTGAAAGTTTATTCATTAAGTGTTATAAATTATGTTTGAAAGTTTGGTAGAAACTAAATTCAAATCGAAGGTCGTCTTCATTCTATTGATATACGACGACGACGACAAAAATCACCTTTGATTAACTGAACTTGATTTTGATTTGGATTGAACAAGGCTGGATTCTGAGAAGCTTCTAGAAAAAAAACAGGTTGGAAACCTGACAACAAATAGTTTTAATATCACAAAAATATTTTTATTGTTGTTACTAAAGTTTTACCGCGCACTCTAAGTATTCTTAAGTTTAAGATTTTACAATCTGTATTAAAGGATCAAAATCTAGAATCGAAGATTGAAATTTATATATTTATATATTTATATATTTATATAGTAAAGTTTGAGATTTTAATGATTAGGTATAGAGGATAAAAAAATACGATAAAAATTATTCAGATTTAAGGAATAAGAATCTGGAATTTAGTATTGAGGATTAAAAATTAAGGATTAAGAATGAGGGATTAAAAATAGAGAATCAGGAATTTTCCTGATTAAGGATTTAGAATCTATATGTTAGGATTGATCATGAAGGATTAACAATTGAGAATCAGGGATTTAGGATTAAGAATCGGAATTTAGTTTTAAGGATTGAAGATCAGGTATTGAGGATTGAGAATTAAGGATTAATGATTAAGAATCTTGAATGAGGATTGTGGAATAAGGATTAAAAATTACGGATTAAGGATTTAGAATCAATGATTGAGGATAAAAGGTTAATTATTAAGATCAAGGATTAAGGTTGAATTAAGGTTGTATAATAAGACAGGTTACTCTCGAAACGCTCCAATGTGTGGAAAATGTCGTGTAGATGGAAAAAACCTCATATGACGTCACTCTCGCTCATCGAGAGTAACGAACCTTATTATACAACCTTGGGTGAGTATGAAGGATTAAGGATTGAGGATAATTATTAAGGATTGAGGATAAAGGAATAAGGATCGAGCATTAGGGATTAAGGTAATGAGATTGAGAGTGATGGTTTAAAGATTGTGAATTAAGGATTAAGACTGACCTAGGAACTGGATTATTAGCCTGCTCCTGGTTCTGGTATAAAGGACTAGACACCAGAGCAGATACTAGGTTTGAGTTTAAGTCTGGTACACTGGTTCTGTACTGTTCTTGTACCCCTGTACTGTACTGCAGTAGCTCCGGTACACTTGTACTGTACTGCAGGGGTAATCCAACCTCGTTGATATTTGGTGAACCAGAATTAACCCTGAAAAAAGAAAGATAAACGAATTAAAGCGATGTATTAAACTTTTTCATCTCACGCTTTTAGGATCTTTGTAAAATGAACACTTTGAACTTCTCTTTCTAGTTTAACTCTTTCATATGGTCGTTAGCTTTTGTTTAAAAATAAAATATACCTTCTAGATGCTCTTTCATATCTCTTACTCCCACTTAAAGGATTTAAAGGATTGTACATTCTTCCTAAAAACATAAATACTAATTACTAATTATTAATTATATTTAACCACTTTAACATGCTTCACTTGTTTTTTTTATCCTAGAAAATTGATTATTTTTAAGTGCGGTTTCTCTATAAAAACATTGAAGGAAATTGTCATAATTAAACAGTTTCCAAGGTTTAAAAAAGACAGATTGTTTCCACATTATGAACCAGAAAAAGGTTTAAAGGCACCAATGTGACTAGGTCTTGCCCCTCATCAATTGAAGTTCACTTGAAAATTAAAAATAACAATTCAAATTCAAATTTACACTGAATAGATATAGTTGCATCTGTATATATAAAGTTGTAATCTCTTTTTGTCTGTCTGTTTGTTTGATCATAACTCAGGAACCTCTGGACATATTTGCCTTAAATTTTGATTCGGGAACTCGGGAGAGCCAAGGGAATGGTCTTGGCTTGGTTTTGAGATTCCAAGTTGAGTGGGTCGATTTTATTAGCGAAAATTTAGTTTTCAGGTAAAACTCGACCAAGTTCGGGTAAACTGTGGGAGTAACTATGAGTACCCTGGGCAACGCTGGGTTCCTAAGCTAGTATATATACATATTAAATATATAACTATAATACTATAGTTTTTAGAGAAAAAAAAACATCAATCAAAACCTTTATTAAAATCAGCAAGATCTGTTTCAATGCACTTTTTACACTAATCTAGCTTGGAAGTTACTCATAAGTCATAAGTACTTACTCCCGTCGTTTGATCCACACTTGGTCGTAGATTAAGATTTTAACTATATTTTACGATTAAAGACGACCAACTCAACTTAAAATCTCAAAACCAAGCTAAGAAGATTCCCGCGGGTCTCCCGAGTTTCCCAAACAAAATTTGAGAAAAATCGGTCCTGAGGTTCCTGAGTTATGATCGGACAAACAGAGATTACAACTTTTATATGCATAGATAGATACCTGAGACGCTGGTAATATTGGACTCACTTGGGGAACTTGACCTTCTCACATCTAATATAAAAAGTTAATTCATTTTTTTAAAGATTCATATATTTATTTCGTTTTACATTAATGACATACATAATTTAAAGTTTATTTATTCAGTTAAACGTTTTCATATTTTTTTACAATATTTGACAAGCCTTTTTTATGCTAAATGCAAAATCTTTAAATTCACATCCCTATTTACCTAGTTAAAGGGACTGTAAAGGAAAAATGAAAGGTGGTATTTGGCCCATTGCTAACACTCAGTGTTAGAAATGGGCCAAGTGTTAGTTTTGGAACTTATATCCCCTGGAATTGCAAAAGTTTGATGAATTTGAAGATTATTTTAGTTCAATTAACGACCTAATTGTCATAAATGGGTCAATTAACCTGAGATTGCTAGAAGACCTAGGTTGCCATTACTAGAGAAAGGGTTTAGAACTAACTGACTTCCATCAGACTCATCAGGTTTCTCAACCCTAGGGAGATCAAAATAATAATGCAATTATATGAAATGTATGTGTGCTTGTCTTGATGCAATAAAATTTAAAGATTAAAATATTCAAGAAATATCCCAAAGTTTTGAAGAAAATCCGGGAGCCAATTAAGTTATATAGCACAGTATTACATTATTTATAGCACGATGATTTCCTTATGGCATGTCATATAATTAAATTTACGGCGTCAAACATTATAAAAACCGAACGTTATAGCATGAATGATAAACTACACAATAGTTTCATAAAAGTGTTTTCTCTAAGGTTTACCTGCGATAAGATTTCTGATGATCCGCTTTTGGTCTAAATCTGCAGGAATCTCTTTGCTGATTTTTGTTCAGATGAGAATTTGAACTTTGGTTATCAGAGTCCTTTAAAACTCGCGGATTTTTTAATCCTTCTTTTTCCTCTTGTCTTGTTTGGTTTAGTGTTTTGTTAGGTTTACTGGAGTTCAACTTCAGTGGAGTTGATTCAGCTCTTATTGTCTTTTCCTGACTGGAGGGTCTTTGGTGATCTTTGGATGAGTTCATGAATAGGCTTCCTGTCATGTGTCTGGACGAATTGGATGACTGAACCGGGTTCGGAGTTAGATATCCATCCGAGGACTCATTCAAAACCAGTTCTTGGTTCCTTGAGTTGACAGAGGCAGCAGATCCATGGGATTGATTAATAGATTGATTGATTGCCGACATTGATTCCTCCCCTATGATTGGCAGCTGACTAATCTCGTTCCTCATTGGTTTAAAAATAAAGGATTGATCGTGCATTGTTTGTAAATCTGGTGGATGTCGTCTAGATCCTAAATTACGGATTAAATCAGTTACATTGTAACTTAACAGTTCATAAGGTAGTTGCTTAGTGTCCAAATTTAATGAATTTGAGCCACGTCTCAAATCCGCCAAAAGACTGTTAAATACGCCGACTTACATCGTGAAACTCTGAATATAATTATATTTGAGCCGCAAGTAACATTTAAGCCTCGGCTCAAATTCCTTAAATTCGGTCTCTGAGGTGTTATTTCATCAATTTCATGATTTAGTTTTATTTACAGCATTTTTTATGGAAACTTCCTCTGATAACTAGATTTTAAATGAGGACAAATTTACTTTAGTTTATTATTTTTTACAAATAAAAAGGACTGTAGTCATAAATTCACGTGACCCTTCATATAATGAGTGAAAGGACTGAATCAAAATGGTGTCCATTAAAACTTATGGGTGAATACGATATTCAAATTAATTGCCAGAACTCAATACGTTTTAAGTTGTTTCTAGGAGTGAGGTTTAAAGGGGTAATGCTGTGAATTGGACCATGCCACTTTGTTGAATGAATGGACACTTAAAATTACGTACAGTCCCTTTAAGTATAAAAACCTGTGGATCTTTCAGATCGTTGGTTTGGTGAAACAGAGTTTCTTATTTCCTTTAGTTCACTTCCAGAGTCTATACAAATATGGGGTTACCCACAAATATTTGGACTGTAAAGACGACATAAGACTCTTAAAAAATGACGATACCAAGGTTAACTTAGCCCTTTTAACGCCTTCTTTAATAATTTGGCAAATTTTTAAGTTGCACCAATCCATTAATTTAAGGAAACAGACAGTATTTTTTAACTACAGGGTGTTCTCATGAAACATGACGGTTGATAAATAGTTATTAAAGTCGTCTTCCATATACCTTATTAGATATTAAAGGCTTTTTGCAGTTTATTTCGTTAAAAATATCTTTTTCCGAAATATATTTTACTTTCAAGCCAATTTTACTATAACATGACTCCCATCCCATACAATATTTGTATTATTGTCTTTGGTATCAAACAACTTAACAAATCATGGAGGAACTATTCCCCAACTGTCATGTCATGTATCTTACTTTTTTAACGGTGTAAACGGTGGATATATCTTGTATAAGTCTACTGCCTTTATACCGCAACACTTGTTGAATAAGTTGATTTGAGTGGATGGTTTAGGGATTTGAATTTCAGAAAATATAGGAGTAGACATTAAAAAAACATCTTTAAATGTATTAGCAAAATTTTTTTATAATGTCTTTCATACAATGAAAGTAAAGAAATTGACAGAAGTAACCTGATCTTTGTTTATATAAACTAGATGAGCTGACCCCTAGACTAGAAAAGCTTGCCCCGCTGCTACCCCCGCCTAAAAAAACAATTCTGAAGAAAATTACAGGTTTTCAAATTCATTTATTTCATTCCTTATTTTTACTATATATGAGTATGAGTTACAAGGGTACCCACACATGATATGGGACTTTACTTAACCTCTTTAAAAATGAAGATATTTAAAGGTTTAATTTGTACTTCTGTATCAAATCAAGATGTTTAAAGTTACATTAAAATATCTGAGAAAGAAACTACAGTGTCTAGCTGCTGGGTATGGGAAGGAATATAAGAAACAAGACTAAATAAATTCCGTACAGTCGTCTCTAACTTCTCAAAGCCTTTGTAGGTAACTCTGAATTACAAACAATCAAACAATGAAAATGTATTTAGATGCTAATTTATCTAGAATATAAATAGTGTTTTAAGTGAATTTTTTTTGTATGATATATTGTAATCGAGAATTCAATTGCACATTGTATGTAGTGTACTATACTATACAAAATACATTATATTTGCTATATTATTAATGTACATTGTAATACAGTGCATCCCAGGCATATGAATACATAGCAAGAGTTTTCGTATTCTCAACATATATAAGATCAAATGCTCGGAAAAACGAGTTTATTACATTTGTGCATAAATCCTTAACCCCTCTTTTTCATAGGTGATTAAAATGTAAAAATCCCTGATATTACAACATTTAGGAGATGTTTTCCATGAACCAATAGTTAAAATGATCTACATTGATACCCATAAAACTGTTGAATAAGTAGACGACTGTGAGACTTAAGTCATAATTTAATTAAGTCCAATGAAAAAGAAACTTGGTAATTGTGCATTGTACACAGACCCTATTAAGCCTCTGGTTTAACTTTTCGCTTTATAAAGGTTTGTTCAAATGTCGTCTTCCTGTTCTAAAGTTTTTGGGTCTTACTGTATCTCAAACCTGGGTATTTCTGAAGATAGGTCACATTTTCATTTCCAGAATTCCTGAAATATAAGAAGTATTAAAAAACTGCATGAAAGCCAAGTACATATTACTTAAATTTTGGAATTGAAAGGATTTTAAGACGAGTCTAATGAATTTGAGATGACCTTTTCTGATTTTAATTTTGCATTGTTTAAAGACTGAAGTTTCCTTTACCGGGTTGAAGACGACCTCATCAAAAGTTAGCTCAACCTGTATTGAAGACGACATCCAATAAAGTTTTCTCTATCTGGATTGAAGACGACGTCCACTTAAGTTTTTTCTATCTGAACTGAAGACGACCTATACTTATGTTTCCTCTACCTGGATTAAAGACAACATCCACTTAAGCTTCCTCTACCCAAATTAAAGACGACCTATACTTAAGTTTTTTCTACATAGATAAAAGACGCCCTCCAATGCAGTTTCCTTTACCAAGGTTGAAGACGACCTGCACAAAAAAAAAATTTCCACTAGAGTTTCCTCTTCCTGGATTGAAGACGACCTCCACTTAAGTTTCCTCTACCTGGATTGAAGAAGACCTTTGTTTAAGTTTCCTCTACCTGGATTTAAGACGATCTCCACTAATGTTTCCTTTACTGGGGTTGAAGACGACGTCCACAAAAGTTACCTCTCCCTGGATTGAAGACGGCCTATACTTAAGTTTCATCTACCTGGATTGAAGACGACCCCCACTAAAGTTCCCTCTACCTGGATTAAATACGACCTCCACTAAATTTTCCTTTACCGTGGTTGAAGACGACCTCCACAAAAGCTAGCTCTACCTGGATTATAGACGACTGCCACTAATTTTCCTTTACCTGGATTGCAGACGACCTCCGCTGAAGTTTCCTCTGTTTCTGCAGATGTAGATGATTAGACAAGTAATGATTAGAGTGGAGAGAACAATAACAAGACTGAGAACCCAGATGATTAAGGAGCTTGGGGTTGCTTCGTCATCTACCTTCCGAGCTGAAACTAATAAAGGGACTGTTAGCATAATTTAAAGTGATCATATATACATAAAAAGATGGTAATGCCCGATTCACAACGGTAACCTTAAAAGCTTTGTCTGATCAGGTATGAATTAGATATCAATGTGTGTAATTTTAAAAACTGTTTATTTTCAAGTGTGGTTTATTACTGAATATTTACTGCAGGAAAACATTTAGAAATTAATCAGAATATAGCCCTTTTAAGTTAAGTTTACAGTCAAAGTACATTTATACAAAATATGCTTTTCTTATGAATCAATTTACCTAAAGTTTTAGAGAATCTGACAACAACAGGTACAGAGGCTTGGCGAGGAGGAACACCTAGTTTATTTTTTTATTATAAAAAGAGGATATAAAGGGTGTCCCATGAAATATGACAGGTAAGAGAAGATCGTCTTTGATACATTTTACGGCATGTATTCCTTAAACTATATGAAAGGACGATAGCTGTATGTTTAAAAGCACCAATGGGAATCGTACACAAATTATTACACAAGATCTTAACACACAAATTCTAATTTTCTAATTGCAACCTGACGGTGTAACTTTGTATAGTTCAAACATTAACAATTGATCTACAGGAACAAAAGTTTGAAATATAAAAAATGTTTACGACGCCATTTGGAAAGTTTTAGATCTTTGACGGATTTTTTTCTCAGACCGTGTTTGTTACTGATTCTAGCTGTGTTTATACATATTTTCGTCTTTCCGTTATAAAACCTGTAGCGTCTGGCTTTGTCTTTAAATCTGGGTTTATGTTTATATCTTTATTTGTCTTTCTGTATGTCGTTGTATGTCAGTCAGTCTGTCTTTCTATATAAATATTGTTTGTAAAGCTGTCTTCTGTGCCTGTTAATCCGTCTGTGTCTATGAATCTGTCTATGTCTGTGTCTATGAATCTGTCCATGCCTGTGTCTATGAATCTGTCTATGTCTGTGTCTTAAATCTGTCTATGTCTGTGTCTATGAATCTGTCTATGCCTGTGTCTATGAATCTGTCTATGTCTGTGTCTTAAATCTGTCTATATCTGTGTCTATGAATCTGTCTATGTCTGTGTCTATGAATCTGTCTATGTCTATGTCTCTGAACAGTCTGAGTACCTGAATCTTGTGCAACGACAAGCAGATGAGCTTCTGTACTGTTTAGAAATTGTAAATCTCTAAAAATATAATTAATTTAATTCTAGAAAGAGAGTATCAGGTGAAACCTTGTTTTTAAATTTTCAATAATTTTCAATTGTGATTTAAAGTGACATGCCATAGAGTAATAAAACGAAGAGGTGAAGCTCAGCTCAGATGTACACAACCAACCACGCCTATTAATTAATTAATAGAGCGGTCGGTTGTATACATCACGATATGTTTACGTATCTATCACTGTACACTTGTATAAAGAGTGATCGTATTTCTAAGGGGTTGTTTTATGTAGATATTTGAATATTAGTATTGATAATCAGATAGATATTTAATTTGGATTTAAATAAAGAAAGAAAATCTAAAAATTAGAAATACGATCACTCTATAAACAAGTGTACAGTGTTAGATACGTAAACATATCGTGATGTATACAACCGACCGCTCTATTAATTAATTAATAGACAGGTCGGTTGTGTACATCTGAGCTCAGCTTCACTTCTTCATTTTATTACTCTATGTGACAATGACATGCAGACTTATGCAGGAGAGACAAGGAATGGAAGAAGACAAACAATGGCGATATATTCACCCTAATTTAAACAATCTGGCATGTAAGGCTGTACAGTGTACATGGAAGGGTACTCGAAATTACGCAAATTTTGTTTTTAATTGATTAAATGATTGCAAATACAAAACCTGACAAAAAGATCTCCACTGGGACTTATCCCAAACACTCTGGACAAACAAAAAAATATTCAAATTTGAACAAATGTAATTAAATGGTGCTAACAAAAAAACACTTTTTTCTCTTTAACTCCTAATTCGTAATAACTATCTTACCATAATGAAATTAATATGATTTCAGGACTACATGGTCAAGAAAATGTCAGGTTTGGTTAATTCTGCTCTGAATGACGGCTCTTGGGAATGGAACACCCGAGAGGTATTCAAATGACGTCAATCTAGAGTAAATTGTACTTAACTGTACATATCTAGAGTAAATTGTACTTAACTGTACATATCTAGAGTAAATTAACTGTACATATCTAGAGTAAATTGTACTTAACTGTACATATCTAGAGTAAATTTTACTTAACTGTACATATCTAGAGTAAATTGTACTTAACTGTACATATCTAGAGTAAATTGTACTTAACTGTACATATCTCCTGTTATTGAAAAGCTATGAGAAAAACATATATTTTATAAATTTATATATGTAACTGCAGGTGATGTCACATCAATTTGACCTTTTCCTTCTGTCTATAGTTCACAGTGCAATTTAATTATGATCGGGAATAATAATAATTAATGAGAATAAAACCTGTGAAGTGCTTTTTTCTACACCCTTTATTTTATTTTTTTCATATAATAAATAGATAAAAATTGTATTTGTTTGTCCCTAGCGTCTGGTCCACGCAGATCTAGAGATATTCTATCATCTTTATCTCCGTCATAAACATCTATCTTCCCAATCCTGTAGATAGATAGATATATAGATAGAAGGATATATAGATAGATAGATAGATAGATAGATAGATAGATAGATAGATAGATAGATAGATAGATAGATAGATAGATAGATAGATAGATAGATAGATAGATAGATAGATAGATAGATAGATAGATAGATAGATAGATAGATAGATAGATAGATAGATAGATAGATAGATAGATAGATAGATAGATAGATAGATAGATAGATAGATAGATAGATAGATAGATAGATAGATAGATAGATAGATAGATAGATAGATAGATAGATAGATAGAAGGATATATGGATAGATAGATAGATAGAAGGATATATGGATAGATAGATAGATAGATAGAAGGATATAAGGATAGATAGATAGATAGATAGAAGGATATATGGATAGATAGATAAAAAAAATGAAATTTTAAAATTCCGCAATTTTTTTTAATGAAATCCGTAACTTTTTTTTTACAATTTACACAAAGTGAACATGTTAAAAATTGAAATAGAAGATGGGCGCGAAGCGCCCTAAAGCCTAGTTTCATAAAATTCTAAAATTTCTTCGGAAAAAAAAATAAAAAAGGGGGGAATTAAAGAGTTAAAAAATATAAAATTAATAGACTTTTCCTCAACTTACCTCGTAGAACCGGATATAGATGGTTTAGATACATAGAATTCATATTGAGTATACCGAAACCTATTTAAAAAGAAATGAACATTTTTGTAAATAAATTTTTTTACTTTAAGCTTAGGGAATGAAAGATTGTTTTTTTTTTATTAATCTATCTAATTCTGTATTCTAATATAGGTACAGAGTTAGAACTTGGCAGGAATGAATAACGACTGCAAGTGCCTTTATAAGTTTTTTCTTCTTACATTTAGATGCCTTATTATAAGAATATATTTATAACAGTGAGGCCCATAAAACTGAAGAATTTGAAGACGTCATTTAAGCAATCTGATGTGTATTTGATGTTCTTATAACAGATTTACCAAGCTTTAAAACAAACTTATTATTTGAAGATTGTCTGTGTATTCACTGCACAATCACTTTGTTTAACGTTTATAATAATAATAATAATAATAATAATAATATTATATTATTATTATTATTATTATTATGTTTATTGGACTTATTAAATCTTACAGTCGTCTTCATATTCCACAGTTTTATTTTGTCTTACTCACTGTATATATGGTTGTTACTGTCACTATTATTGTTATTTTTTTCTGCTTTACTACATGTGAATAGATGATGGCACTTTTTATTGAAAGGTCAGATAAAAATGTTTTAAATAATTTGTTCAAAAGCCTTGTTTCCTTGGATCCCAGTCGTTTATGTTGAGGACTGTAATGTTTACTCTGAAAAATAGAAAAAATCAATTATTGATCAAATTCTTTAATTGATTGATTGATGGAATTACCAATTACTACCTGGCTGTAGCATTTTGTCTACCATCGCTAGCTGTAACCCTAGAAATATGAAATTAAAATAATAATATTATAATTTTTAAATAATAATTATAAAATTTTAGATAATAATTTTAACAATTCAAACAATTTTTTTTATATTCTTTTGTATTTTTTTGTTTCGCAACAATATTCATTTTTTTGGTGGCGGGGGGGGGAGAAGGAGTTCCTTGGTAGAAATATGATTAAGATGCTTTGAATCAAAATTTAATAGAATTCAAGTTATGTAGGGTTTGAAATTTAATTAACACTTTAAAAAAAATATATTAATAAAAAACTCAATGCTTTTAAGTTTCAAGGATAAACGTTTAAATATGACGAATTTTCCAGATAAAAGTTTCAATATGAAGAAGTATGAGAATGAAGAAGTTTCAAAACTATGAAGTTTCAAAGTCATGAAGTTTTAAGGTTATGAAGTTTCAAGGTCAAGAAGTTTCAAGGTCATGAAGCTTCAAGGGCATGAAATATCAAGGTCATGAAGTTTCAAGGTCATGAAGTTCAAGGTCATAAAGTTTCAAGGTCGTGAAGTTTCAAGGACATGAAATTTCAAGTCATGAAGTTTTAATATCATGAAGTTTCCAGGTCATGAAGTTTCAAGGTCATAAAGTTTCAAGGTCATGAAGTTTCAAGATCATGAAGTTTCAAGGTGATAAAGTTTGAAGGTCATGAAGTTTCCAGGTCATGAAGTTTCCAGGTCATGAAGTTTACCTGAATGAAAAGAATTCCTTAACCTCGAAATCTAATCTCTCTCTCAGTAGAATATCTCCTCTTTAGAAATAGTTGAATTTAAAAAACTGTTAAACAACGAAAAACCGTTAAAATACTTCAAAAAAACATACATCACTGAAAGAAGTTCATAGTGAAAATTATTGGAATTAATGCACTTTTGCCTTAAATAATCTGCTTTCACTCTTAGCAGTTTTTATATCCTATTTGTTGGTCAAAATTATTTTAAAAAGTGGCCAGAATTTTTTAGATTTATTTACATTTCAATTATTTCCTGTCCGTCACTGAAAACTCCTTCCCTGGAAGGTCTGTAGGTTCTATGTAGAACTGAACCAAACTAAAATATTTAAGGGACGGTGTACGGTAGGCAAGTATATCAATATAATAAAGACGAATTTTTATTTTTCTAATTGACAGCTATCTTTGTTTCTATGTTTCTGTTTATCCATGCTTTACAAGTCGTCGTCAATATATTGATATAATCGTCCACCATCGTAGATAATATTTCAGTGAACCCTTCATTTACAGGGTTTTAGACTCAATCTGCTATGGTTACCCTGTAACCAGAGTGAGAGCTAAGTTTTTTAAGATATCCATTTGTTTCTACCTGAAAGAGAATTGCTGATTTATACAGCAGAGTCAAAGAAGGAAATATACCTATCTGTTGGTCTGTTTGTAACTAATGTTATTACAACACTGTTTAAAGGTGTATTTTCAAGAACCCTTGCAGAGTAACTATTCTGAAATACAAATTAATAAAGCTATGTTCTATTTACAATGTTACCCACAAAGGATGAGACTTCAGGGACGACTGTAAGGAATTTAAACTTTCTATTTCCTTACATTCCCTGCAAATGTAAACATCTGTCTTTCTATGCCGAATCAACAAAAAGCAATTTACAAACCAATAAGTCTAACCTTTGGATCGTCATGTTTGAAAAATTTGAAGACGTCTTTACAGTGCCATACTTTGTGGATAACCCTGTATTGAAAAAAAACTTGATTTTTAATTATTCTGGAACTCAAGACACATCTTTAGATTTTAGTCGATAACATTTACGTCAATAATAGAAACTTATTTTAAAAGATTTTACCTCAACGAAAATGAGGTTTCTGTAACCATCTCCATTCCTAACCACACAAAAACAAATATATTATGCTGCTTTTTTGTATTATTTTGTTTTTTAATTAGAGTTTTCTAATTAATTAAGGGTTAAGTGGGGTTTCATAGGTTTATTTGGTTTTAAATTAACCAAACTTTAGAACATGGTAAGTGCAGCTCTAAATCACCAGTTCTAACCATGGTAAGTGTAATTTCCCAGTTTAAACCATGGTAAGGGTAAGTTCCCAGTTTTAAACGGCTCAGTTTCATTTGCCATACTACTTTTGCCATAATACTTTTGCCACAATTACATTTGCCATAATGCATTTGCCATAATTACATTTGCCATAATACATTTGCCACAAGTAACACTTGCCATAAATTACACTTGCCATAATTACACTTGCTATAATTGCACTTGCTATAATTACACTTGCCATAATCAAAATTAAATTTGGTTCGAATTAACAGACGTATCTATATATAAATTTGGCTTGTCTGTCTGTTTGTCTGTTTGTCTGGGTGTCTGTTTGTTTGTTTCTATCCAATAAACGTCAAAACGGCTGAACCGCGATGCCCAAATTTTTTGTGGGACATCACGTGACCACAGGGAATGTTTACGACATACTAAAAATTTTAAAAAATCTGTTTTGAAGGTTTGTTATTTTGTAAAAAAATTTAAATTCTTGAAAATCCGCGAATTTATTTTTAAAAATCCGCGAAATTTTTTTCTTCTTTGTTTCAAAATGTAAACAAAAAGAACATGTTCACAATTTAAATAAAAGATGGGGGCGAAGTGCCCTAAAAGCCTATTATTTATATATATATCTTTGAATTACATATTGAATACAAATTACAAATCTTATTCAGAGACAGGTCGAATTCGGGTTCGAATTCTAGCAGAGCACATTTTAAAAGAACTTTTCCAATATTTCACTTCTGTAAACGAGGTATTGGCTACATAGGTGTAGTTGTTGCTCTCTCGAACCATTGGTTTACCCTTACTTTCCGCATTCACAATAAAAAAAGACAGATTTATATCTTTTTAAAAATTAGAAAATTATGACAAAAGTAATTATAGCAAGTGTAATTATGGCAAGTGTAACCATTATGGCAAATGTAACTTATGGTAAGTGTGACTTACGGCAAGTGTAACTTATGGCAAGTGTTACTTATGGCAAAGGTATTATGGCAAGTGTAATTATGGCAAAACTGTTATGGCAAATGAAACTGAGCCTTTTAAACCATGGTAAGTGTAATTTCCCAGTTTTAAACCATGGTAAGAGAAATTTATCTGTTTTAAACCATGGTAAGAGAAATTTACCTGTTTTAAACCATGGTAGGTCTAATTTACCTGTTTTAAATAATGTTAAATGTAATTTCCAAGTTTTAAACCATGGTAAGTGTAATTTCCCAGTTTTAAACCATGGTAAAAGTAATTTACCAGATTTAAACCATGGTAAATGTAATTTACCTGTTTTAAGCCATGGTAAGTGTAATTTTCCAGTTTTAAACCATGGTAAATGTTATTTCCCAGTTTTAAACCATGGTAAGTGTATTTCCCAGTTTTAAACCATGGTAAGAGAAATTTACCTTTTTTAAACCATGGTAGGTCTAATTTACCTGTTTTAAACCATGTTAAGTGTAATTTCCGAGCTTTAAACCATGGTAAGTGTAATTTACCAGTTATAAACCATGGTAAATGTTTTTCCCAGATTTAAACCATGGTAGGTGTAATTTACCAGTTTTAAACCATGGTAAATGGATTTCCTAGTTTTAAACCATGGCAAGTGTAATTTCCCAGTTTTAAACCATGGTAAATGGAATTTACCAGATGTAAGCCATGACAAGTGTAATTTACTTATCTTTAAACCATGGCAAGTATAATTTACTTATCTTTAAACCATTTTAAGTGTAATTTACTTCTATATTTAAATTTGGCTTGTCTGTCGGTTTGTCTGTTTGTTTGTATCCAATAAACGTCAAAACGGCTGAACTTATCGGGCCCAAATTTTTTGTGGGACCTCACGTGACCCAGGGAAGGTTTATGAATGATCAAAATTTTAAAAATTTGTGTTTAAAAGTTTTTTATTTTTGAAAAATTTTGAAAATGCGCAAAAAAATATTATGAAATCGCAAACTTTTTTGTTTTTGTTTTTTACTGTACAAAGAGAAGATGTTCAGAGATAAAGCCGCAATTAAAAGTTGAAATAGAAGATGGGCGCGAAGCGCCCTAAAAGCCTAGTATCTTAAAAACATAGTAAGTGTAATTTACTTATCCTTAAACCTTGGCAAGTGTAAATTACTTATCTTTAAACTATGGCAAGTGTAATTTACTTATCTTTAAACCATGGCAAGTGTAATTTACTTATCTTTAAACCATGTAATTAAACAATCTTGAAAACATGGTAAATGTTATTTATATATATACCAATTTTTAAACCATAGAACGTTTAATTTGCAATTCTTAACGTCAGTGTAAGTTCACCAATCATAACCAAGTGTAGTTTTCAACCTTTAAAACATGGCAATTGTAATTTACGTACCAAAGGAATTGAGTCTTTGTCCTGATATCTTTGCAACCTACTGGTGTAAACCTTTGCTTTTTCAAACTTAGATTAAATAATTTAATATAACAGAATTGATAGTTTAAAATAACTAAGGTCTATGACATTCATTGGGTTTCCCAAAAATAGAGTAAAAATCAGAGTTTGTGGCAAAGACTCAATTACTTTGAACCATATAGTACATGTCATTTATTATCCAACCTTGAAATAGTAAGTGTAGTTACTGCATATCTATCAGGGTTGTCAAACTGGGTAGCCTGAATCATGGAATTATCATTATTATTATTATTATTATCATTATTATTATTATTAATATCTTGATTATTATCATTATTATTGCTATTGTTACTATTATTATTATCATTTTTATAATATAACTAGTATTATCATTATTATTATTATTATTATTATTATTATTATTATCTTCAACTTATAATAATTTATTTTAATTAAATTTTA